AAGTGTTTGCAACACTTTTTGTCGTCTTTTAAAATAAATAAACAGTTGTTTACCTTTGTTTCCAAAGGATTGACCAGTATAAAAACTGGTGTTCTGCTTATTTATATCGAAATTCTTTGGTTTCTACCACGGTTCAAAATTTCTGTTAATTTATCACCTTTAAAAGTCAACCATGCCCAGTTGTGCGAATTGTACGAAAGCAGTGGCCGATCGCGCTTCAGCTCTCCAGTGTGACGGATTCAAACATTCGATTCATATGGAATGCACTGGTCTATCGTCTACTGACCATGTAACTAGACAGAAAATTTGTGGTCTGAACATTTTATGTAATAGTTGCTCCGTTAATCTTGGTAACTTTACAGATTTAAAGAAACTTATAACTGACTTTAAGCTTGATATACAAAAGAAACTCGATGATAATATTGCTAAACTCTCGACCGAAATCACGGATCTAAAAAATAAAATTAAGTCTGTGGAAGCTACTCGTATTAACTCTGTCGAAATCACCGAAAATCACGTGCAAAAAATGTACTTATCAGGAGATTACCTGAAAGCACCGGAGACAGTCACTCCAAAAAAGAAAACGACAAAATTAAAATCAGGGAGTCACTTGATATTATTGGATTTCAAGGAGAACCAGTAACATTTTTCCGTGTAGGAAAACCACAGCAACGCTTACCCAGAATGCTGAAAGTTGTTATGTCCTCTGAATCAGATACCAAATTTGTTTTAAAAAACAAAAACAAACTATTGAAAAATGCAGACACCAACGGGATTACTATAATAAACGATAAGACTCCCATGCAACAGCAATACCTCCTGGACTTACGTAAGGAACTAGAAACCCGAACAAACAATGGCGAAGATAACCTAACCATCAAATATATCAACGGGCTGCCCAAAATTGTTACATTTCGCCAATGATAGCTTTTCTCCATCCTATCTCGTTGACTGGTTTCTCTTATACACTAATTTATGTTCTATTCACGCTAAATATAATGAATTTATGTGCACTGTTTAACTCCTTAAACCTGACATAATTCTTATCAGTGAAACCTGGTTAAATACCTCAACTCCCGACTCACTAGTTGATATCGACGGATAGACAATATTTCGCATCGACCGAGAAAACCGAATTGGTGGTGGCGTTTGCATTTACTTATCAAAAAATATTGTAAATAATTTCTCTGTATCTCCTGTACACATAAAAATATCTAATATAGATGTAATATGTATAAAAATTACTAAACATTTAACTTCTGTACATCTTGCATGTATTTATCGACCCGGTGACACTCTTTTAAACGACACCATTACGCTGCTATCAAAACTTGAAGATCTATCCGTTCTTGATAACACAGTTATTATTGGAGACTTCAATTTTCCTGATATTTCCTGTCCCATTATGAATGTCCCCAACGACAACAACTCTAAAAGAACTTTGTTCAAAATTTCAACTTATCTCAACTGATTCTTGAGCTAACACGCTTCCGAATCAATAATGATCCTTCAACACTCGATCTTTTCTTTACAAATGACACACAATTATTGTCCTCCCTAGAGGTTAGTACTCCTGTTGGAAAATCCGATCACCCAGTAATAACGGCAAACGTACAATTCAATCTACCATCTCCTAAATCGGAAGAACATTTCTCAACGTTAGAAATCATTGACTTCACTAAAGTTGGTTATTTGCTTGCAATTACTGATTGGGATAACTTCCTGCTGGCCTCTAATAATTGTTCATCTATGTGGAACAAATTTAACAACATCACTACACAAATTCTCTCAAAAAACACTATTAAACGTAGAGTTTATCGCAACAAATTAAAACCCTGGATCACTTGGGAACTACTAGAAATGATAAAACATAAACGCAATCTATGGAGAAGTTATAAAAACACAAGATAACGACGATTTCATCTGCCACAGAAGATTTTCCAACCAACTCAAGTGGCATCTACGAGACAATCTTACGAAGAATCAATCGCTGTGACAATACTAAAAAAATCTTTAAATACATCCGTTCTTCTTTCTCATCTAAAGTGGCCACTCCTTTTCTTCAAAAGACTGATGGAAGTTTATGCTCCTCCAATTTCGAAACAGCTGAGATCTTATCGCTCTCTTTCTCCAATGCCTACACCATCGAGCCAACAAACGATGTACTACCCCATATTATTACTACACGTAATTTAGCTTCACTTGAAAATATATTTTTTACTGAAACCCAAATCAAAAATAATTTACTAGGTATTAAAGCTAACTCATCCCCTGGCCTTGACGGCTTAACATCTTATTTTAAAAAAAAATGCGCAGGCGTTCTATCATACCCTCTTTCTATAATAATGAATACATCCTTTACTCTAGGTTCTCCTTCCTCCTCCTGGAAATCTGCATCTGTTACTCCGATATTTAAAAATGGCAATAAACTTGATCCCAATAACTACCGCCCGATCAGCCTCCTACCAGTTATTTGCAAGGTTATGGAATAAATTGTTGCCGAAAAAGTGTCCTCCTTTTTAATCCATGAAAATTTTATACCTCAACAACAACACGGCTTCATTAAAGGAAGATCGACTCTTACCAACCTCCTCCATTGTATTAATAATTGGACGAAATCCGTTGACGATAAAAAGCATATCGATGTCATTTATCTAGATTTTTCTAAGGCTTTTGACAGAGTCCCAAAACGTCGACTACTTCATAAACTGGAACATATAAGCATCCGCGGTAACCTTCATAATTGGATCTTACATTTTTTAACCGACAGATCTTTTAAAGTAAGAGTTGGTAGAGAGTTCTCCTTAGAAAGACCAGTCTCAAGTGGTGTTCCATAGGGCTCGGTTCTCGGCCCTTTGTTGTTCACTGCTTACGTAAGCGACCTTAAAGCGTTAGTTTCATCCTCAATATGTTTTTATGCCGATGATACAAAAATATTTGCCAACCTTCTTCACGACCATCAGGCACTTCAAAATGACCTTAACAACCTCCATTCATGGTGCTGCAACTGGCTCTTGTCCCTAAATATAAACAAATGTGTTTTGCTCCATATTGGTAAAATTAATCCGAAGTTGCCATATTCAATCAACATGCATACATTAAATAGAGTGTCCTCGTACAACGATCTAGGTGTTACAGTGAATACTAATTTATTGTGGAGTGATAATATCGCTAGTGTGTGCAAACGCGCAAACTACAGATTATTCCTAATTCAAAAAATATTTTCAAAAGTGTCGTTTGAAACGTTGTGCAGACTTTATAAATGCTACGTCCGTCCTATCCTAGAATACGCAGGACCCGTGTGGTATCCAGACCTAGTACGCGACCAACAAATGTTGGAAGGTGTTCAACGCCGCGCCACCCGGCTTACCTTTGGCCGCATTAGACCATCATACTAGGAAAGGTTAGAAATTGGAAATCTTATAACATTCCAACAGAGACGTCTTCGCGGTGACCTAATTTTGTCGTTTCGAATAATAAAACATAACTTTGGCGACCTTTTCCTCTAAATACTGACTCCCGACTTCGTGGACAGAATCTTTGAAGTCTGGAACAACCTGCCCCAAAAAATTATAGATTCCCAAAGTGTCAATATTTACAAAAACAATATAGACAGGCATATTTTTCACAATTCATAATTGTGATATATTTTTGGATTTACCACTTGAACAATGTTCGAACCCGAGAATTTGCATGTAGCTCATTTTCGAATTTAATTTTGTAACTATACTTGTATTTAGTCTTTAGATTTATTTTAAAATAATTTCTTGATTTATTAGTTTTTAGGTTAATTAATTTGGCTTTTTTACTGGGCACAATAGGACACCGTCCTCTGCCCTTATTGTAATAATAATAAATAATATTTTTACGGCATAAGCTGCTGGTTGGTGCCAGAAGTAAATTATTTTATTGGCGTTATACTGGATGCATCAATATGCTACACCCAAACATCACCAGTTTTATCAGTTTTAGTCAATAATCAATTCGGTATTGCTGTTGTAAAAATTTCAAATTTAAATATTTTTTTTTTGCTTGCTTGAGAATGTTTGTATTGCCCATAAAGGCAAATTGACATAGATATTTATTATGAATCAAAAGGGAATAAAACATAATCCAATAGAGTTATTTGCCCTTTATAATCAATTAGGTAATTAACATGCTACTTTTGTTTTCGCCAAAAGCACATAGTGGTTATTTCTAACCTGAAACGATCTACAATCGTAAAATAGTATTTCTTCATTTACTATAATAGTGTCTACAATATATTGGAATGCATTCTTGCCTATGTACTAAAGCTTACATGTCGTTAGTTGTAGAAAACTGAAGAAAAGGACCAACTGAACACATTCTGAATGGCGGGTAATTTTCACTAATTTGAAAAATGCAGAACTGTAACTCAATTTGGGGCTATAGAAGTTCAGGTAATGTTGGTATAAGATATCTAACGAGACTGACATATAATATGTCCGATTGAAAACAAAAACTTAGTTGTTGATAGTCACTTACGTTTTCCTTTTGTTTATTTTTGTTAGTATATTAATATCGACCGTTTCAATGGATAAAAATAAATTCGTTTAGGTAATTAGATGCAATTCATTCCTATTAACCATGTTACAAATACAACCGTTATATTTATCATCAATTTTTTTTATGGTTCACAGAAGTAACACCCTTTCTTTTACGTTTATAAATACGTGAAAATTAAAAGTAATATTTTTTAGTAATAAGTATAATAATGTTCAAATAATTTAAAAATTCGTTATTATATACAGCATGTAGCAATACTATCGAAATATTTACAATATTATATCAATAGTATTTTAACTAACATCATTAATCATTTTTATTAATATTCATTGAACATGAATGGTATTTTATCTTTGATTCTATAAGAATATTTGTAGCATTTATTTTTTATTTCCATATATGTTTTACATTTGTTATATGGTAATAATTGTATTTGGAAATATTTTGTACAAACATTTAAAAAAGTTTATCATAAAACAAAATATCAAAAAGAAATACTAAATTATTAAATAATAATGATATCACTGCCTTGTATAATAGACTGATTACGAAGCGAGTAATTGTCAATATTTTCTTCACTAGAAGTCCCCGCTTTTGATGTAGAAGCTTGTCGGCTATCTTCTAAAGTTTCACCAAGCGATGAAGTAGACTGGGTACTCCTCCTTTCAACGCTCTGACTAGTACTACAGCTACTACTTGAAGACGCCCTGAATGAGTCGTCTAAAGTACCACTATCTATTTTGCTAGTTCTTCCTGATGTAGTTGTTCTAGCACCAGTACTACCACTTTGAGGTACTTTTAGATCCAGAACTTTGTTTCTTCTAGACCTGCAATTATCATCGTGACTACAATGTGGTTGGGTTTTTTCATAAGGACATCTTCGGTAATTTCTTTGACTCTGATTATATAAAGATTTACATTTCCTAGCGTAAAGCAACTTATCTACAGCGTAGAAAAAATTGTTGTTGCAAAGACAAAGCACTGTGTGAAGAGTAGCTGGATGTGTCTCTAAAAATCAAATTATTGAAATTTATTAGATTACTAGGTATTTATAACCTCCTCTTTTTTTGAAGTCGGAATGCAATTTATTCGAATGCAGACAAAAGAGAGGATGTAGCAATAAGTATTTTCTTTGGTGATAATTCTTAGTGAATATTGTTATGAGAACAATAAAAACAGGTAAATAATTTAAAAATATGAGTCTATTTTAAAAAGTGTATAAGCTACGAAGGATTAACTGAATTTAAAATTAACTGAAGTTACCTGGAAAAAGTTGCATCAATCTCAAAAAGTAAAAAAACTGACTAGAAGATTGTTGGATGGATGGACAAGTCTTGTCGCCGGATTTCTCAGTAGTTGCTGCTGGTTCCTCTTTATCCGTCGTGGATGGATAAGGTTGAATGGTGCTCCATGGACATGAAATTGGTTGTTTACAAAAAGATTTTTGATCTTTTTCCGTTGTCGATTTATTGACCGCAGGTTCCATTCAATCACTCTAATTATTATTTATCTGTTTGTCGCTGCTTTGCATTGACACAAGCAACAATTTTAAATTTGTTTTGGCACCTGACAGAAGCCTGACAAAGGATATTGCTTTGGTTAAGTTGATTGATTCAAGAAAAAATCCAAGGAAACTTTTTTGCTCACTTAGAAGCTAAACCAAATAGATACTGCTAAAGATTATTTTTTTACTGTTAAAGGAAAGTCGCTTCATAGTGTTTTAAAAATTTTAAAATAAGGTAAGTAACTGATACTGCTATAAAGCTGTTATATTGCAGATAGTCTCGCAAGGAAAGGGACTCAAACACACTTTGTAGGATCTGGGCTGTAACACAATATTATGAACTTAAAAAATAATTGGGCAGTAGAAGAGTCGAAGATTTAAACGATGTCTTGGGGCTAAGACAGGCTAAGATACTTCTGGTTGATTATTACCAAAAAAGATTGGAATCCAATATCTGAGCAAGAACAGGCTACGCATAGTAATGAGGATCCTTACCGAGCATTATTGACAGAAAATACAGCTTAGTAAATTAGGACAAATAAAAGATAGTGAATGCAAAATCTGTGCAGAGATGGACGAAACCTTAATTCAGATTCTGACTGATTGTGTAGCACTAAGTGCTCTATACTTTGAAGCTCATTAAATAAAAGGAGACCTTCCAACCAGCCTGCAGCTACTCCAAATCTTACATTTCGTAAGAAAGATAAGATTAGAAAGGTCGTTATAGATATCTAGATTAGTTCGTTACTCCCTTAGCGATAGAAAGTACACAGTAGATGTTTTAGATCGCAGTCTATTAACTCCCTATACATAACATACAGCTACTATAAAACTGGACAAAAATAGCAATAATTTAAACAATTTTGTTTGCAGAACAGGACTTTGAACTTACAGTGATTTTTTAATAACATTGACCAGTAATTGACCCTGTATATTTTTTATGAAACTAATTTAAATTTAAAATATTATACTGGTTGTCTCAAATAATGCAAGTAAATTTTAGATTTCTTGGATTAAAATATAAAATACAAAACAAAATTAGAATCATAATCGCAAAAAAGTTTCTTTTGCTATATACAGGGTGTTAAAGTTTCTTTAAAAAAGTATTATTATTAATATCTAAGAAAAGGCTTCAGCTGATTTCAATTGATATTTCACAATTTGTTGATATTTTATTATGCTTTTGGACCTATTACAGTGAATTCCAAGGGTGGTTATTTTTTTATTCACGAAACAATAGCCTCCCGTCAATTTTTGCAATCTTTTGCAATTTTTATATACATTTATTTTTAAGAAGCCTTTAAAAATACAACTTTTTGATTCTGGAGTTTTTCGTATGGTTTTCGAAAAAAAAAAAAAAACATAATAAGAATAATAGTAAAAAATATTAATAATCAATAAAAACCAAATATTTTCTCATCTCTAAACTAACTGAGACAAAAAAAAATGATACAAATGTTCTTTATGTAAACACAAAAAGAAAATTCCACTATAGTTTTCTATAAAATGCATACATGCCGATCCTGAATATCAGAAATTAAGCAGCTTGAGACATATGTGTATTTTGTATTCGTATTTTTATATTTTAACCTTACGAGTCCACTATATATCGTCCGGTTTTCTATAATTACGGATACATTAAACTTTGACGAAATAATGCATTCTCTTACTACAAAAGTCAATAGGGTTGTGAGATAAACGGTTTTCATCACTTTAGTTTGCGCCAATCAAAAAGTATTTTGCTTTGATCATCCTCTCCGTTCTATAATTCAGATATGAGCCGAGTGCTTCATTCTAGGTCAATAATAAACAGCAACAAGTCAAACGACCGGAATATTTCATTTAGTTCATCCGAAGTGACATAAATATTTCAATGTCCTTTCCCCAGTAATTTCCTTTCGTTCAAAACGTTCGGTCCATTTCCGAATTGATCCTGTTGACCGCGCCATAGCTCGTTTCGTGAATTTATCATAATCGAATTATCGTACAAAGTCGCTGCTTCCCGAACTTTTGACCTAGATTATCTATCGATGCTGGATTGATTTTTTTCTTACAAAAGAACCGACTAATATACATAAAAGGGGTGAAAGAATGCGATAAAGCTACATAGGCGCGCTCAAAAGTATTGCTCTAAACTGGATGGATGTTTCACCCTTTTCGCTTTTTTCTGTACTTGTACAATTGACGAGTCAGGACAGTTAAAAGGTGCAGAGAGCATCGAAGTATCAATTGAAAAATATAATACTCATAGTATATATTTACTGTTGGTGATGATTCAGCCCAAAGTAGGAGGATGAATATTTAGACCTAAAAGAAATAAGTGATGGGGTATCTCTACTTGTTATATTCTAGTGACCTACCACTGCCTTATCTATATTTGCTGATAATACTGATTCCTTTACAACTGAACATAATAGTCTAAGATCCGAAATAAGGTCGGCCTTCACCCATCTGTTTACCGGATGAAAGTTTCTTTTTATTAAATAAAATATGTTTATAAATATATCGCAAAAGGGTTGCCTTAGAAAATACGGTCCAGAGTATTTATTTTCGAAAAATAAAAAAACAACACCCTGTAAAGTATTTCCCAGATGCTTCGATCATGCCCAAACTTTAATCAGCTCACCGCAGGATAGATTAAAGCCTAAGTTTAAAAGTTGGTGTTTTTCTATTTATCCGTTTTTGAGTTGTCTTCAAATTTCTAAATTTGCAATTTTTCTTAAATATCTCGAATTAGGTCCATTTTAGGGAAATCATGTATAGGGACAAAATAATACAGAATGACATTATAAGCAACTTTTATCATGATTCCTATACTTTCCTCATCTATACACAGAAAGGAAAGCAAAAAATGGCCGTGACCGTATTTTTTTAGGCAACCCATTTGCGGTATAATTAAAAAAATATTTTATTTAATAAAAAGAAACTTTCATCTGGTAAACAGATGGGTGAAGGTCGACCTTACTTACGGATCCTGGACTATAATAAAAAAATATATATGAGAAGATTACAATTGTAAAGCAATTTGTTACCCGTGTAAATTCATTTTATATTGTCAAATGAAAACTCATTATTTTATCATTAATTTTATTAAAAAAAATACAAAATTTTATATTTTGTGTACTAGAACCCTATACAGGGTGTTATTGAAATACACGTACATATTAAAATGGGGAATAGTATGTAATGACCAAAAACGATTGGCACCAATTTTAACTTCAAATTCTAAAATTTAAATATTGGGGAAGAGTCCCCTTTTCCGACCTACTAGTTTCTATATTTAAAGAAGTAAAATAAATCGAAATTGAACTTACCCATAGAAATTGCACTGTTGCCGTAGCAAAACCAATTAATTCAAAATAAAGTTTATTACAGTAATTGTTCAAAATGCCGTCCATTATTATTTACACACACTTGCAATCGTCTTTCCAAAGAACTTTGAACATTAGAAATTAGTCTTGGATTTTGTCGTAGTTCCTCGGCTACCGCATTAACTTTATTGGTTAATTGTTCAACACTATTAATAGGTTCATTATAAACCAGTTGTTTCATGTGACCCCACAAAAAGAAATCGCATGGATTTAAGTCAGGAGATCTCGGAGGCCACTTAGTAGGTCCATTTCTGCCTATCCACTTTTGAGGAAATCTAATGTTCAAAAACTGCCGTACGTTTAAATCAAAGTGAGGAGGAGCGCCATCTAGTAGGTACCATATCCGTTGCCTTAATTGTAACGGTATCTCTTCTAGGAGTACTGGCAAAATATCTTCTAAAAAGTAGAGATATCCTGGCCCATTTAATCTGTTCGGGAGAACATAAGGCCCGATTAAATACTGATCTATTATGCCAGCCCAAACATTTATTGAAAATTTTCTTTGATGCCCAGTTTCCCTAATGGCGTGAGGATTTTCATCACTCCAAATATGCGTATTGTGCATATTGAACACGCCATCCCGAGTGAATGAAGCCTCGTCAGTATACAATAATATTTTTAGAAAATCAGGAATATCAACACATTTTTGAATCATCCATTCACAAAACTCCACTCTCTTTTCTTCATCACCTGGATATAAGGTCTGGACTTTTTGGATGTGATAAGGATGTTAACCTTGTTCTTTAAGTGTCCGCCACACAACAAATGAGGACACTCCAATTTCAAGACCTAGTCTTCTACAACTTAATTGAGGCCGGTTTTCAACAGCTTCCAATATTTCTTCTTCGGCCGCCAATGTTCTTTGTGTTCTTGTTCTCCCTCGATCTGCATTGACACTCTCAAATTTTCCATGGTCTCTTAGATGCTGAACAGTTGAAATAAACGTACGACAGTCCGGAATTCTCCGATTTGGAAACCGTTCGCGATACAGGATTTGTGCTTGCCGAGAATTTTCTCCAGCTGCCCCATAAACCACCACTATATCCGTTAGTTCAATATTCGTAAATAGTGGCATCGTAAAAAAATATTTAAAAGTAATCGTAACAACACTTTTTACCAAGTTGGAAATGACGCGCTCGTGTTAGCCAGATTCGTAAATCAACTAAAATTTTAATAATCTATAGTTTCAAAAATGTATAGTTTAAAAACAATCATTTATCAAATATTCTAGTTTTTTGATAACGAGGGTAGTAAAAAGCAGTCTTCGGAAATAGAAATTAATTCGAAAATCTTGGCAACATGGTTATTTCTTACAAGACTAGTTTTCTTATCATCTGACAAAAACTTGCATATTAATTACTGTTGATGTTTAAAATAGGTAAATAAACCTAATTTATATAGGTCATCCTCAACATATCAGTGAAGTACGTTTGTTTTAGAATTAATTTTCAAAAATTAATAACTCCCTTAATAAGGGGTATTTTTAAAAAATAATATTTTTCTACATTCAGTGGGGATCTGCGCAATACCCAGTTTTAATATGTACGTGTATTTCAATAACACCCTGTATATCTTCATCTGCAGCAGCTTCTAAAATAAATATAAAATGTTATTCTATTGTAATAATAGACTTTTGAAAATAAGTCTTTTTCAATCAAGAAATTATAAACAAAGAGTAAATGTAAGGTTATGGAGTGTAGAGG